AATATGTTTATTGTTTAGGCTAAGTTTTTAGTTTTGGTGGACTTAACATATTGGATAAGTTTGAAAAATATTGGCCTAAGATAAGAAAAGAAAATGAATTGGTTTTTGTCTTGAATCTATGTTGTGTACTTTACAGTAATTGTTATAGTAATTTTAGAAACGACATTATATACCTAATTTAAGCTCTTTGTTTGTTCTATTTAAGTTTAGTGCTAGTATTTATTGCTTGTTTGATCAATTATGGCTTATGTTGTCTTTCTTTTCTCTTTTTAAGAACTAAAAAGGAATATGCGTTTGATATATCTTTCAAATGCAAAGTAGTCGTGACCAATCGGTGCAACATCAAAGTTGTCAGAGAAATATTTGACAAACTAGACGATGCACATAAAGATCGATTTGTAGAGTAGTGCTTCCGGCCACTAATAAATATTCCCGAGCTCATATTTCCAAAGCAATGGGTACGTATAATATATATTTTGATCATATTAGATTTTTAACTGTATTATGAAACTTGGTAAAGTAATAGAATTTGTACATTTATTGTGCAGGTTTGATTGTGGGATGTTTACAATCAAGTTTATAGAATTTTTGCATGTTGGGAAGAATGTTGAAGGTGTAGAACAATCTCGGATTAGTGGTTGGCGTGAAAAACTAGCAGCTGAGATATTAGGTGCTCATTTTGATCCATAGTTTGTTTGAAACATTCAATATGTAACGAGTTATAGGGATCTTTTGGATAATACATTTTTGTACTATTTTTTCATGTTTTATTCAATGCAATGGTTATTAGATGCAATGGGTATTTTTCACGTGTTATTCAATGTAATGGGTGGTCGATTTTTGAAGTTGTATTTTTTACGTACTTTCAAATGCAGTGGCTATAATAGTATTTCATCAAAATGGTTAAAAATATTACAGTAACGAGAAGTTTTAATGTAATAAATAACGACGGGGTTCGATGCCGAGCTCCCGAAAATAAGTTGAGGAACCAATTACAAGTCGTTTAAGAAATCACGAATGAACAATTGTTCTTTTGTAAGAAATAAAGATTTTACATTCGTTATTTTGAAAAAAATAAAAAAATTGCTTGTCACGGTCGCGACGAGTGTCGCGGCCGCGACGTCCTGATAACATTCTCTGTCGACCAAGAACAGGGCCCAGTGTCGCGCCCGCGACACATGTCGCGACATCGATATATAGTGCTTTCAAAAATAATGATTGTACAATCGTTATTTTGTACGAAATAACGATTGTACACTCGTTATTTTGAAAAAAAAAAATTGCTTGTCACGGTCGCGACGTGTGTCGCGGCCGCGACACACGGGAAACATTGTCTGTCGACCAAGATAAGGGCCCAGTGTCGCGCCCGCGACGTGCCTGCCACCATCTCTGACCAAAAAATTTAGCCCAGTGTCGCGGCCCGCGACACATGCCGCGACCGCGACAAATAGTGGTATCAATATAACTATTATACAATCGTTTTTTTGTATGAAATAACGAATCTATATTCATCATTTTGGAAAACAAAAGAAATTGTTTGTCGCGGTCGCGACGCTCGTCACGACCGCGATGCCCTGGCAACCTTCTTCTGTCCGACTAAGAATAGGGCCTGTGTCACGGCAGCGACGGAGGACGCGCCGGCGACAAACGTTCGAGTTAAAATAATGTAATCGAACTCGAATTAACATAATTAAAGTCAAATTAAAGTCAACTTAAACTAATTGAAGTCAAATTAGTAAAATTTCGGTCAATTATAATGTAATCGAACTCGAATTAGTCCAATTGAAGTCAAATTAGTACAATCTCGGTCAATTATAATGTAATCAAACTCGAATTAGTCAAATTAGTACAATCTCGTTCAATTATAATGTAATCAAGCTCGAATTAGTCCAATTGAAGTCAAATTAGTACAATCTCGGTCAATTATAGTGTAATCGAACTCGAATTAGTCTAATTGAAGTCAAATTAGTACAATCTCGGTCAATTATAATGTAACCGAACTCGAATTAGTCCAATTGAAGTCAAATTAGTACAATCTCGGTCAATTATAATGTAATCGAACTCGAATTAGTCCAATTGAAGTGAAATTAGTACAATCTCGGTCAATTATAATGTAATCGAACTTGAATTAATCTAATTAAAGTTAAATTAGGCCAATTGAAGTCAATTAACCAAATTGAAGTCAAATTAGTACAATCTCGGTCAATTATAATGTAATCGAACTCGAATTAATCTAATTAAAGTTAAATTAGGCCAATTGAAGTCAATTAACCAAATTGAAGTCAAATTAGTACAATCTCGGTCAATTATAATGTAATCGAACTCGAATTAATATAATTAAAGTCAAATTATACCAATTGAAGTCAAATTAATCTAATTGAAGTCAAATTAGTACAATCTCGGTCAATTATAATGTAATCGAACTTGAATTAATATAACTAAAGTCAAATTAGACCAATTGAAGTCAAATTAATCTAATTGAAGTCAAATTAGTACAATCTCGGTCAATTATAATGTAATCGAACTCGAAATAGTTCAATTGAAGTCAAATTAGTACAATTGAAGTCAAATTAATCTAATTGAAGTCAAATTAGTACAATCTCGGTCAATTATATTGTAATCGAACTCGAATAAACATAATTAAAGTCAAATAGACCAATTGAAGTCAAATTAGTACAATCTCGGTTAATTATAATGTAATTGAACTCGAATTAGTCCAATTGAAGTCAAATTAGTAAAATTGAAGTCAAATTAATCTAATTGAAGTCAAATTATTACAATATCGGTCAATTATAATGTAATCAAACTCGAATTAGTCCAATTGAAGTCAAATTAGTACAATTGAAGTCAAATTAGTACAATCTCGGTCAATTATAATGTAATATAATTAATATAATTGAAGTCAAATTAGACCCATTGAAGTCAAATTTATATGATTGAAGTCAAATTAGTAAAATCTCGGTTAATTATAATGTAATCGAACTCGAATTAGTCCAATTGAAGTTAAATTAGTACAATCCCGGTCAATTATAATGTAATCGAACTCAAATTAATCTAATTAAAGTCAAATTAGGCCAATTAAAGTTAAATCAATTTAATTGAAGTCACATTAGTACAATCTCGGTCAATTATAATGTAATCAAACTCGAATTAGTACAATTGAAGTCAAATTAGTACAATCTAGGTCAATTATAATATAAACGAACTCGAATTAGTCCAATTGAAGTCAAATTAGTACAATCTCGGTCAATTATATTAAAGTCGTTATTGGTCTAGTTTTAGTCTTCTTTTTTTTATGTAAAAAAATGAATTTACAAAGATTTTACATCCATTATTTCCATTTTTCAAAGAGGAAAAAAAACAAGTGTTGTATTTAAAAAAAGAGTTTCGTCGTGAGTGTTTCGACGATCTAACAACTTTAAACTATCGTTCCAATGACATGTTTCATTAATATACAATTGTTATCAAGTAACTCGATCCAAAAAACATAAAGAATGCGCATTTTGGTCGAAAAAACAACCATAACGAATGTATATTCGTTATAACGAATATACATTCGTTATGGTTGTTTTTTCTACCAAATCCACCTTTAACGATCGTGCATTCGTCATATAATATATTATAGAGATATTAAACTCGTTATTGGTCTATTTTTAGTCTTTTTATATGTAAAATAACGAATCTACAAACATTTTACATCATATTTCTATTTTTTTTAAAAAAAGTGTTATTTGATGAAAAGAGCTCCGTGATGAAGGTTTCGACGCTCTAACAACTTTATACTATCATTGCAATGGCATATAAAATTAACATACAATCGTTATCAAGTAATTCTTGTTTAAAAACCATAAACAAAGCTCGATTTTGGTCGAAAAACAATTATAACGAATGTCCATTCGTTATAACGTTGAAATAACGATTGTACATTTGTTATAGTTATTTTTCGACCAAAACCACCTTTAACGATCGTGCATTCATCATATAATACATTATAAAGATAATAAACTCCTAATAGGTCTAATTTTAGTCATTTTTAAAGTTAAAATAACGAATTTACAAATATTTTACATCATATTTCCATTTAAAAAAAAAAACAAGTGTTATTTGAAGAAAAGAGTTCCGTGATGAAGGTTTCGACGATCTAACAACTTCAAACTATCGTTCCAATGACATATAACACGAATATACATGCGTTATCAAGTATTTCGATCGAAAAAACCATAAAGAAAATGCGTTTTGTTACGGTAAACAATTATAACGAATGTACATTCGTTGTAACATTAAAATAACGATTGTACATTCGTTATAGTTGTTTTTTGACCAAATCCACCTTAAAAGAGGCCTTAATTCGTCGTATAACTATGAAGATATTAAACTCGTTAACGGTCTAATTTTTGTCTTTTTCATGTCAAATAAAGAATTTGCAAAGATTTTACAAAAGAAAACATGTATCATTATTTCACAAAAGAAAAGAAGAAAAAAATTAAAACGCCCGCAACAGCAAGCGTGTCGCACCCGGGACAGGCCGTTGCAGGCTTCTGGAGCTCGGTATTTGGTGTCGCGACCACGACGCTTATCGCGCACGCGTGGTTGGCCTTAGTCACGCCCGCGAGAGACGTTGCGCTAGCGACAAACTGGACAGCTTTCTGTCTAAAAAAACACCAATGTGTCGCGCGCGTGATACACGTCGCACCCGCGACATCCTAGGAAGCTCTCTACCGACCGAATTGCAGCTTGTGTGTCTCGCCCGTGATCGTAGTCGCGCCTGCGATATTAATAACGACTGTAATTTCGTTATTTCATAGTTGATAACGACTGTACTTTCGCTATACTTATATTTTTAGCCTTTTTAAGTGTAATACTACTATGAAATAAACCTCAAATAACGGATCTACATTGGCTATGAAATAATTAGATAACAAATCGACATAATGCTATAAGATAGCTTATCATTAGAGAAAGGGGCTTTCGACATAAAAAAGCCAAGAAAGTTCCGAATGTTAGTGCGGATAGGCGGAATGTGCCTTTCCCGCCTGCTTTTCCATTATATACGTTCTGAGATTTTCTTCAGATAACGAATGTACATGCGTTATGGAACTACATAACAACTGTACATTCGTTATGTACCAACAAATTAAAAAAAAAAAAAAAAAAAAAAAAAAAAAAAAAAAAAAAAAAAAAAAAAAAAAAAAACTCAATGCCACAAAAACATGATAAATATGAAACCAACATGTTTATCAATCATAAAATATAAACAAAAATACTTTATCTCTAAAATAACAACAAACCCTAACATGTTTTAATGCTTTAATTGTTGGTCTTCCACTTTTTTTTGCAATATAGAATCCAACGTTTATGTGTAATGATTATATTTTGTTCTCACTTTTTCAAGAGAAGAAGATGGAGTGAGAGAGAGGAGCAGCTCGAGAGAGACGAGAGAGAGGACCTAGGCGCGAGAGAGAGCTGTGCAAGCACGATCAATTTCTCTCTTTTTTTTTTATTTTTACAAAATTGGTAACAAAATAGAAGAAGGGCATTGTAGTCATTTCTCATATAAAGGTATTTTAGGTATTCTAATAATTTATTTAACTTTATTTAAAGAATAGGTTATTTAAACAAATAAAGTGTTCAAAAGGGTCATTTAAATAAATCATCCCTTTGACCATCCCAGTTAAATAAAACCCCCCAAAGACCAACAGACCTCAATAAAATAGCCAGTGCCAACATCCACCAACACCTTCTCCGCATCGTCCAGCAATCCCGGCACGTAAAGCGACGCCGTTAACGGCATCAACATTTTCTTCCCTGTATTCAATTAAAACACAAAATATAAAGGGAAATAAGAAGCTATCAAGATCCAATAGTAAAAACAATGATAACAGAAATGAAGGAGCAAGTGGTAGGTATTGAGATGACCGTGGGGGCGGAGGGAGAGGTCGTGAAGGGCGGGGGAGGCGAGTTCAAGGCGCGCGGTGGCGGTGCGGATGTTGTTGAGGCTGTCCTGAAACACATTAACCTCTAGATCGGCTTGCTCTTTTACCCCTCTCACTTGCTCTATGCTCATCTTCTCTATCTCCACCCGAGCTGATGTCGCCGCCATTGCTGCCCAAACTTCTCTCCTCAAAAAATTAAAAATTATAAGATAATTTATATGCATACAATATTAGTAGTATTATATTTCAAACATATAGTATTATAAGTTATATTTATGCATATAATATAAAAAATAAACATTAGATAATAGTATTATATTTAAAAATTTTATATTGGTTAAAATAAATAGTAAATAAGATTTGATTGCATACGAATCACTATATTGATTGCATAAATAATTTAATAAATATATAACTTTTTTGCAATTTTGAGTTATCATGACTAATGAATTAGCTGAAAAATATTAAATTTGTTATAGCAATTTCTTATGCGATTTAAAAAAAAAATTACTTTGACATAAAAAAAAATAATTTATTTAAAAAAATCTCTTAATCATATAAAAAAATCTAATATTGATTTTAGTGTAAAATATAATTTATGTAATTTTTATATATCATTCAGTGTAAAATATATTTACTAATTTTAATATTAACTATTATATGGTCCAATAAACAATATATTTAAAATATAACGATTTTTGTCTTAATTAACCCAAAAAATTGTAATAAAATATTTTATTATAAATGTGTTAGGATGTATTAATATCACATAAGTAAAATTTATTACGCCTTATTTAACCATTTGCCACATGAGTAAAATTTATTAGATTTTATTTATTAGGGAAAATTTATTGCTAAGCTAGCAATTATATATATTAGTTATCATCCTGTGCACATGCACAGATGTGCATAAAATATTATAAGTAATATATGTGAATTTAATATTAAAATTATAGATGATAAATCTATCACATTTTCAAGATATGTGAATTTAATATTAAAATTATAGATGATAAACATATCACATTTTCAAGATATGTGAATTTAATATTAAAATTTTAGATAATGGACATACCACATTTTCAAGATTTAATCATTAGTAAAAATAAAATAATATTTATATAGATTATTTGAGTACATATGAATCACTATATTGATTAAAAAAATTGTGGGTAATGTAATTTTTATAGTTTGGAGGGATCATGGTCAAATAATTTACTTGAAAACTTTATTATTATTATAATAATAATAATAATTATTATTATTACTATTCTTATTACAACGACAATTGTTTATAAGATTTTAACAGTTTTTTACTATACTAATAAAACTATTTACTAATTGTTTCTAAAGAAAATTGTTTCATGAAATACAAAATTAAAATAATAATAATATCATTCATAAAACTTATTTAAGTGTAATCATGTATTCATAAAACCTAATTAATAAAACTTCATTTATTTTTCCTCCAAAAGAAGTTACAAAATTTGTCATTCATATTTTGCCTTTCACATTAATACACCATATTAAGTGTAATCATGTATTTTTTTGCTATTATATTATATAATAGTTAATGCTATTACCAACTCATAATATTTCACACTAAATATAAATTGCATAAGTATTAAACAATTTTATTGTTTCAAGATATTATTGTTATTATTGTTATTATTATTATTATTATTATTATTATTATTATTATTATTGTTATTATAAACAAATTTATTATTGTTATTATTATTATTATTACAAACAATTTTATTGTTTCAAGATATTATTATTATTATTATTATTATAGTAGTTAATGCTATTATATTAATAATAGTCAATGCTATTAATTTTTTTACATGATTACACTTAATAGGGGATGTATTAATGTGAAAGCAAAATATAAATGACAAATTTTGTAACTTCTTTTGGAGGGAAAATAAATGAAGTTTTATTAATTAGGTTTTATTTATGAGGTTTTATTTAATGATTAGCTAGCAATTATATATATATAGATATATATATATATATATATATATATATATTTGTCTGTGAAAAAGATTATTTCTTCTATTAAAAATGTAAATTAACCGTAATTTTTTTAAAGCCCCTATAGCTCAGTGGTAGACCGTCGGTCTTGTAAACTGAAGGCCTACAGTTCGATCCTGCATGGGGGCACTTTTTTGTTAATTTTGCCCGCTCAAAAGAAATTCTTTTTGACGTTTTCCAACCAAATTTTGTTTGTTACCTTTCCCAGACTATATGTATGTACCCTCGTAGATACCTAACATCATGTAGCCTCTTATTTCACTATTAAATTACGCAAATAATTAGGTGTGCCTTGGCACACCTAGCAAGATGTGCCAAAGTTTTTTTAAAATGAACATGTTTCATTACAAAATAAACATGTGTAAATATATTTACACATGTTCATTTGGTAATGAAACATGTTCATTTTAAACTGCCTTGGCACACCTTGCTATGTGTGCCAAGGCACACGGTAATAGCACTGATTAAATTGACTCAAAAAAAATCAACTATTGATTTAATGTAAAATTATGTTTGTTAACTTTTCCCGACCACGTGTAGCCGCGCACATATCTAAAATTAGGTAACCCTTTGTTTCATTATTAAATTGTCTCAAAAATAAATGTAGACCATTGATTTAATGTACGAGGCAAACGGAAAGTTGAAAAGAAAGTTACACGCTTTGTACATGCTAAAAACGTAATATACTCTTACTTTAATATAAAATAAGAAAATAAATTAACTAATTATAAAATAACTTTTGATTAACTAATTATAAAATAACTTTTGTATTTTTTTCAAGTACGTAATATACTCTTACTTTAATATAAAATAAGAAATTAAATTAACTAATTATAAAATAACTTTTGATTAACTAATTATAAAATAACTTTTGTATTTTTTTCATTCCAAATATTTATCTTATTTGTATATTTGTCCTACACATATAAAAACATATCATCACAAACATTAAGGTGATTCTTGGATATAAATTTTTTCCGAGAAAAATCGGTCATTTTACTGTGCAATCCTTGTTTGGATATAAACTAGTATATCACCTGCGCGTTGCGCGGCCTGATATTAAAACATGACGTGAAATGAATTATTATTTAAATAAATAAAAAATATTAGGAAAATATGTAGAGAGATAATAAAAAGTAAAATGAAAATTTTATTCATTATATTTCAAATGTTTTCCTAAATATAACATTATTAGTTGATGGATTGTATTCATTATTACCCTTATCATCATAAATTAATAATCATCAGACAATAGAGGTCTGTGACTATAAAAACAATAACATATATTGGATCTGATTATAAAATACAATATGTTTTGTAATAAATAGTTTCAAATTAAATAAA